GCATCCCAGGTTTATATCCATCTAGGCATTTTATTTGTGCACTTGCATGGAGAGGTTAGTGCTCCCCAGGCAATGACATGCCTCCGATCACGAACCACACCAACTTTGTGTCTGCCCTGGACCAAGCCACTCGGGGGCCCGGTCTGTGTTGGGGGGTTGTCATGTGCCCTGCAAGTGGGGAATAGGAGGGCGAGCTGCCCAGCTGTCCCTTACAGGAGGGCAGATGTTGCCTGTCTTAATCTGGCACAGCAAAGGTTTGCTGAGCAGGGCTTTCCATGCCACACTCTTGTTTCTGAGCGCTAGGAAAGAAAGGATCCACGCTCTGAGAAACCATCTGGCAGTCACCAAGGAATGGACTAGACCAGTGGGTCCAACCTTTTGGGCAATCATGCCACAAATTGGCCCTGAATGCCACTGATCCCCTTCCCTTGTCTGCTCTGCTTACTGTTCCCCATTCTGTGGTCCCAGCCTGATCTGCTGCTCTGCCTTCTCCTCCCTGTCCTATCTGCTGCTGTGCTGCCTGCCCCCTCCCCGGTCTGCAACATGCCTCGCACAGAGGCTGCCCGTGCCGCAGGTGGGCCCCCTCTAGACTAGACGTCCTAAAGATTTTGCATTTAAATATTCAGAGCAAAGTCTCAGCCCTTCTGGAATGGGAAAGAAGTTTGCCAACGACTTCACCGCAGAAGGCGTGGGACCCTCATTCACGTGAGCAGCGTGCACTGCAGGCCCCGGGGAAGGATGCCGTTCTTATCCCGGTGCTCCGAGGTGGGCTGCGGTCCTGCCCCTGCTGCACCGTGCATTGCCTACTGCTGCCCTTGCTCCCTCGCCAGCAGCTCTACATCCTCCCTCGCCTGCTGATCCTAAGAGAGCTTAATGTGGTGGCCGACAGAACGGTGGCTGAAAGCCATCGCAAGCTCCCCCGCAGCCCAGGCTGCCTACTGAACACAAGCACTGCTGTCGCCCTTGCAGACCCCCTGCTTCCTCAGACCCTCTGTGCCAGCCTGCTCTTGCTAAGTGCAACGGGCCAGCCCCTGGCATGGAAACCAGCTGCTGGGTTGCCATTTTGATCCCTTCCACCCAGCTATCTGCACCCAAAATCCAAACAGACGTGCTGCTTTGGCGCACAAGCTCCATAGCTTATCGAGCCCCCTCTCCCCCCAGGAGGCAGCGATGGAGGTCTTTCTGCTGGGGAGAGCTACCCGCATGCTCTTTGCCTTGCAGAAGTGTTCGGGGGGAGTTAATTGCACCTACAATAAGCAAAAAGTGCCTTTTTTTTTTTTTTTTTAAGGCAATGCAGATTCAGTGGTTACCTTGCACATCTTGCTGCTCCTAATGAATTGCTAATACAATTTTCTAGATAATTTTATTTCCATAGTCCCCACATTTTAATGTCTCCAAAAAGCTAGCATTTATTTGCTTAATCTCCCAGCATAATACAATTTGCACTGACTCAGGTTCTGAACAATCAGCTATGCATAAACTAAAACAAATTGTTTAATAACACAAAGGTCTTATATTTATATTGACGGTGTGTACATATCTCTATTTTTTACTTTCCCTGTTCTGTTGATGTAGCCAATTTTATAATTGTGTGTGTGGGTCACAGGATTAAGTTTCTGTTCATAATGCTCTTAAGGATCCCAGCCAGTATGGGAGATGAGGCATTATTCTGCTAAATTCAGGCCTTTGGGAGCCACTGGTGTATCCGGAGCAGATAGTCAAGGTATTGCCATGTGCAGCCTGTGACCAACATTAGAGTTTCAAAGGGGCTGGGATCCTGCTTGCCTTGATAACTCACTGCCCAGACTCGCACGGGTACGTGGAGCTGGTGTTTAAGGCAGGCCATCCTTGCAGAGGAAGCTAATACAAGTAGCTACTCTGTAATGGGAAAAAAGGGGGACTGCACAGCTGGTAGTTACTGGGCTGAGTTCTCGCCCAGGATGAAGTTGTTCTCGCTATATATCCCCTCGCGCAGTAAAACATCCCGAACGTGTGTGCAATTCATGGTCCTGTGGATGGGGTCGTAGTCCTGGGTTTTGCCTTGCTGACGTGCATCACCAAGCTCCCCATCGGTGGGCTGAGAGTTACGGTACCTGCATGCCTGGTAAAAGGCATCAGCGTGGATGAAGGGTGTGCGCGAGCATTATCGTTCATTCTTGCACACGTGGCTCAGCAGCAGGTTTTGATGAACGTCTCAGGATTTTCAGATGCCCCTGCTATGCCCATCAGGGTGAACAGTGGCCCTTTCAGAGGTGAAAAACAGGTGCATGGAGAGCGGCAGATTGTGTGCGGCTCAGTAGGATTTGGTGGTCTTAGCATCCTCTTCTCCTCCCCAGCTGATGGTGCTGCCCCTCTGCCCTTGCCCTGCCTTCCAGCCAGCTTGGCATCATGAGGTGCAAGGTGCTCAAGGTAACGAGTTGTCCTCGTTACTGGGTGCCAGACATCGCAGGACCCGCAAGTTCTTTCCTCACCTGGCCTGTGACCCCCCCGCAGTGAGGCTTTTGCTGTCTAGCAGCTAACTGCCTGTTATGTTTTCCCCCAAATTACCTCTTGCTCTCGATATCCAGACACCCATTAGCAGAGCATTCTCTTCCCATTTCCACTGATGGAATTTGAAAGCCAGCATATACACATTCATAATCTTTATTTTTTTTAATTTGCTGCTTAGCCAGTTTAATCAGGTTGCGTATTAGGGCTACTGTGCTAATATGCTCTTGATACTTCATTTGATAACGAGCAGCCTTCAGGAAGAGTTGCTGCATTTCAGAGCTGTGCAGCACGGCAGCCGTTTCGCTGGGAGGCTGCAGAGCCTCACCCCTGTTGCTCCGGATCTGCTGATGGAGGGAACCGGAGGGGTTCGCTGCCCGGTTAAGGATAGCAGAGCTGTGCCCTCCAGCACATCGTGCAGGGCTCTGTGTCACTGCAGGTGCGAGGTGTGCTCGGGATATAAAAAAAATCCCACACTGTCTTTAAAAGACCTTCCCATTGCTCTGTGTCGCAGGGAGGGATGGGGATGCCTGTTCTGCCATGTTGGACCCTGCTGTGTCTTTGTCAGGAGCTAGATGCTAGCGTGCAGTATGAAAAGCCGTGTTCAGGTTGACGTGGGCAGGACAGCCTCAGCCGCTGTGGGGGTTTCCTGGGCGGATGCTCTCCTGCTGGGCTGTCCCGTGAGCTTGTCCTCTGTTCCCAGTTGGAGTGATGCTAAACCCATTGGAAGTGCACTGGTTTGTCCAGGGGATTGCAGAGAAAGGGGAATAGGCAGCCTGCCTAAGAGCCCGTCTACCCCAGCCATCCGTCTCCAGTAGCGCCGGCGGGGGTCCCTGCCCAAGCTGTTTCCAAGGTTGGTGACGAGGCTCCTTCTCTCTCCTCCCAGGCACCGACATGGCCGTCTTCTGCCTGCTGTGCGGCAAGCGGTTCCAGACGCAGACCGCCCTGCAGCAGCACATGGAGGTGCACGCGGGAGTGCGCAGCTACATCTGCAGCGAATGCAATCGCACTTTCCCCAGCCATACCGCCCTCAAGCGGCACCTGCGCTCGCACACAGGTAAGGGGCAGTGGTGCTCGGCGGCCCTGGGATTGCTCCGGTGGGGGTGGGAGATGCTCTGGCTCGAGGCAGGATCCTCTGGGACCCAGGAGCAATTGCCTCAGGCACTGTGGGCTGGTTGTGCTGGCCCCGGGTAATGCAGCACCCCTGCCATCGGTGCCTTGCAGCGCATCCTCTAGTCCTGCCTGTGGTCTGGGGACGGCGTTTCCACCCATCCCTGGTGCCAAGGCCAATGTAGCTCATCCATTAGGTTCCTTTGGCTCTCCTCAGCTAGGGCCTCCATCCAGCCATGCCCAAGGGCTGCAGCCAAGAGGGTGCAAGTGTCCTGATGTGCTGGCTCTTAAAAACTCAGCCCTGCCCTAAAGAGCTGGCAATCACTGTTGCTGCCAGAGGATGCAGCAAACACCCTGTGGGAGGGTATGCAGTGTGAAGCAGCTGTCAAACTCTTCAACCTGGGCTCAGGCAGCAGCACCGGGCCTCCTCTCTGCCTCCATGCTGCTGCCTGGGCCTAGCGACCCCAGCCGAGGGGTGTGCAGGGCGTGCTCGTACTCGTGCGAGGGCTGATGGGGGCAGGCTGGCCCTGCACTCAAGCAGCGGTGTCCCGCTGTTCCCGGGTGCCTATAACCAGGCTGGTCTCCTGCCTTAATGGGATGATAGCAGCCCCAGCAGCACCTCGGTGGTGTTTAACCTGCACGATGAAACGGCGCAGTAAAGTTCTGCTCAATTTGAAGAGCAGCAGGGCAGCGAGACCGGTGATGGGAATGTGCCACATGCGGGCCTCCAAGTGCTGCTTTGAGAACCAGGCGTGTGCAGCACGTGCCAGGTGCGGCTCAAGGGGGCAATGCAAGGCTGCCATTGCTTCTGCTTTGATCAGGCACTTGGGGCCGTTTGCTCGGCTCCGCTAGGCAGTTCCATCTACCTGCAATCAGGAACGACTGGATTTAAAGAGGTGAGAGGCAGCACCTGCCATTGCAGCTGTCTGTAGGGATGTGGTGGCTCCATTTCAAATGGGATTGCATGATGCTCTCCCCAAAGCATGATGATCTCCCCAAATTTGCCCCGACTTTGAAACCTCAGCACTTGGATGTGAGAAAGTCGCAGTGTGCGTACAGGTCACATAGGAAGCACTGAACAAAGTGAAGGGTCCGCCCTCTCTTCTCCATCAGCTGAAGACATACAGGGGGAATGCCAAGATTTTCCAGATGTGCTAGTGATGCTGGCTGCCGAGGTTTTGCTCCATGGGGTTAGGGTTTGTACCATCTCCCCTCTGGAAACAGAGCCCTTAACAGGTCTCCAAAATCCCTGGTCACTTGTGATGTCTTGGGAGAAGTGTTGTGGCTTCCTGGAGATGTTTCCAGGCACAGAGCAGCTGAGGAATAGGGTCCAGTGTCCTATCCTTGCACGAAGTGCAGAGCTAGAAGAGAGCCTGTCAAGTTCATAGCATGGCACCAACCTGCCTCAAACCTGGGTCCAAAACAGTGGCTCGTGGGGCAGAGGTGTCTGTGGGAAGTGGGTGTCCAATTCTGTTCCCAGGCTGTCCGGGGCCGCAGTCCTCTCGCTTGCTGGTTCTGGATGTGTTGACTCTAAACAGAAGTCATTCCTAGAAAACCAGGAGAAAATGGAGATGCCAAAAAATATTGGAATTGACCCAACACGAGTCTGGCGAGTGACACAGGTGACAGCAAACTGTGCCGGCCGCTGTTGCCTGCCTCCGCCCCGTCTGCCTGTGCTCCTGGGGGAAGGTTTCTCCGGAGCTCACCACCCCCGCCTAATTCCTTGCTGCATACCTGCGGGGTGGGCTTTGTGCAAGCAGCCTGTCCTGGGGAAGCCTGGGTCAGCATGGCTTATGGACCTGGGGGCACCTCTCTGAATACTCCACCACTACGTGAAAGCCAAAGGCATAGGCGCTTACTTGCCCTTGGCCCAGTTTCAAGGGCCGGCAGAGACGATCACTGCTGATCTGAAAGGAGGCAGACAGAAAGATGTCTACAGATGATCATTATTCATCTGCAAGGGCAGAGGAGCATCGTGTCTTGTGGGTTATGCTGTCTCAGGGGGAGATGCACTATTGTGAGAGGACTGAAATGCAGCACATCTGAAAAAGTGATGCTATATCCTGTACTAATTGCAACAGCAGCAACCACCTGGAGATAGCAACAGAGGAGCCAGTGTTAGCCCCTGGGAGACAGGCTTCCTTGGTGACCATTGCAGTTCGGGACCACTCTGGGGCACATCATGAAAATAGCCTGCGAACATTTGGATTCTGCTTTCTTTCTTCCACAGCAAGTCCCTGTGGAAGAAACAGGCCTCTTGAATCGACAGCATGGAGGGACAGCCCAGGCAAGTCCCAGCTGGTCAAAGGAAACGTCCTGCTGCTTTGGGGCTGTGTGTGTCACACTGTATTCAGCTGAGGAGCTGCCAGCCGGTGGCACAGTGTCTGGCCCTCCTTGCCACCAAAGGGACCGATAGTCCAGGGTTTTTTTTGATATGGACATGCTGTGGAAGGCTTGGAAGCCCGGGGGAGCCACTGCTATGAGTTTTATGCTGGGTGCTTCCTTGGGGGTGATTAGCACCATGCTCCCAATGGTGAGCCTGCTGCAGCCTCCCTCTCCCCTTCCCCTCCAAGCATGCGTCGTTTCATAGTTTGTAGGGTCGGAAGGGACCTGAGCAGATCATCGAGTCCGACCCCTGCCATAGGCAGGAAAGAGTACTGGGGTCAAACGACCCCGGCAAGGTATTCATCAAGCTGCCTCTTAAAGACCCCCAGGGTAGGAGCCTGCACCACTTCTCTTGGAAGTTGCTTCCAGATCCTAGCTGCCTGACCATGAAGTAGCACCGCCTGATAGCTAGCCTAAATCTACCCTCTACCAGCTTGTGACCATTCAACAAAGCCCTGGCTGGGATGATGGAGTTGGGGCTGGTCCTGCTTTGACATCCGTTCCAATCCTCATTGTCTATGACTCTAAATCCACCCTTCATGCTTGTGCCAGACCTGCCCTCTGAGCACCGCTGAGGAGGTTGGAGTTGTGGCCAAGCACCAGAGCGACTGGGGAGCAAACACTGAAGCAATCTTCCTCCAAGTCTCATGGCAGTCTGTTAGCGCATCCGACTTCCGGGTCCCAGATGGCATGGCCTCTGGTTTGCTGTAGTAGCTGGCTGTGCCTTGAGCTGACTGCTCTGCTTGCATGCATGGAGAAAACCGCTGCCAGGGTCTGCTTTGGCTTAGCCAGTCCCCTCGCTAGGGGTGGATGCTGCCTTGCGTCTTGGCGACAGGGCCCTTCCAAGCTCTGCTTTCTCCTGCCACTCATCACACAGGGAGGATCGAAGCCCTTGCCCTCGCCGATCGCTTGCTTCTGTTTGTGTATCTAAAAACCCTCCATAATGGCTCCCAAGAGAGCAGCGACCTATGGCTGGGCACAGTCATTAGCAGGGTTGTGTCGCGCTGTACCATACCCAGGCTGGCCTGTTATTTGCAGGCTTGCTATGAATAACCGGGGCTGAGATCCCTGCTTCCTAGGGGTGGAGGAGCAGTTTGCAGGTGAGGTGGGAAGACAGGTCCCTGCTTGGATTTGGCTGGGGGCTTGTTTCCCTTTCATCATGGGTCTGCTGGAGAAAGGCAGGTTTAGGCATCCAAAAGTCCCCTTTCCTCAGGTGAGAGCAGGCTCGGGGCAGTGGCTCATGATCTGCTGCTTGCAGTCAGAAACTGAAGCCTCTGTTTCAGGACAGTCGACCTGCTTCAGCTGCCCTCCATCCCCAGCAAGGATGGGGATGCAGGAGCACACGGCAGGTGGTCATAGCAAAGTTGGCACTAGGCAGCTCCAGCCACCCAGTGCACGCAGCCAGTTCGCGTGGGCCAGCAGGAGAGCACCCTTGGTATGTGCATCATGATGCGTGGGAGGCAGCAGTGGATAGGACGGGGTTGTTCCTGGGGCATCCTGGCGTTTGAAGGGCCAATGCATCTGCGGGGCCGCGCTTTTCCAGGGGATGTTTCTGGCTGGTGCGAGAGGAGTGACAGGCTTGTTGTTAAGACTCTGGGAAGGGACTCAGAAGATCTGCTGTCTGCTAGCATCACTTCCATGATCTTCCCACACCGTCTTGTGCAGGTGGCTGAGTCCATCGCTGCCTCAGTTCCCAACCTACAAAATTGGAGGTCAATTAACCTTTTTCTTTCTCCCCATCCTTTGCCCATCAAGTGTCTGCAGCAAAGAGATTTGATTCTCTCTTATGATGATGCCTTCATAACACCCAGGGCAATGGAGCCCTGATCTTGATCCTTCCTGCTCCTGCCATTGATAACGTGGCCTTGCATGTCTTGTTAGGGCTTGTGGAGTGGGGTTTTTTTTTCGGGGGGTGGGGGCTGTTGTCATTCAGATGGTCCCAGTTGCACCATTTGCCGCCTCCTTGTGCATCTCCCTTTATCTCTCCGGCTGGGAAAGATGAAGGCAAAACACTTTGCCGGTGTAACTCAGCATGCTCCCATATCGATGCCAGGACACAGGTTTGATTTCAGCCTGCTCCGGGGGTGGCCCAGAAGACCCATCGTTCAAGAGACCAGCAAAGCGAAAGAATCACATTAGTGCTTGGATTTCCACAAGGCCGGTGCAGGCTTTATTTTGCACGCACACACGCACGCACACACGCACAATGCCTCACCTCATTAATATTCCGTTGCTCCCAGCCCATTTGCTGCCAATGCTGGATGTTTAGTATCAGCAGCTGTGTTTGGTAGTGCAGGCCAGCCGAGTCCTTGGCATTGATGGATCCCTGATTTACACGGCTGATCATATAATAAACTCTCAGCTGTGTAGAAAAAGGCGTTTTATGGCCCTGCGATTGGTTGTTCAGTAGACTAACAAATGCACCAGGTAACGATATAAAGCCAGGGTCACAGGTGCAGAGGGCTGGCCAGAGGGGGCTCTAATTAGTCCCCTTTGTCCTGCACTTAATGTCAAGCTCATTAAGGGGCCCGGCAAAGTTAATCAACATGCCACAAATTGGATTTCTCTGTTCGGCAGCCAGTTCTGCGTGCGCCGTGCGGGCGCGGGTCCGACTAGCTCCCTGAGTCGGGCCGGGGGGCCGGGAGCTCCGCGCGTCCCTCCTCCATGCGGCCTGACTGCTGAGATTCCATATTTAAACTCATTTGCCATGTGATCGGGCTGATAATTAAATTCACCAGGATCCTGTCAAACTAGCTCCTGAGTTTAACACTTCATTTAAAGTACCAGGACCCTATCAAGAGGCAGCAAGAGGAAGGGGGGGGCGGGGAGAAAAGCCCTGCTCATGCCAGTGCCTTGGGCTTCACATGTGAATTATTCCCCCGATTGCCATTCACATGCATTCTTCTGAAAAATGAGTCGGTGGAAATGCTGCAGCTGCCGGCACCAGGGCCCAGCCAGGGCCTCACCGCTTGGGTGCTTGAGTAGAGAGCCCAGCAGAATAGTGAAGCAATAATACAAGTATATATATTGTGCCCCGCTTCCCATCTCCGAGTCAGCACCATCCTGGCCCATGCCTCAACTGGTGTAAATCAGCAAAGTTATATCCGTTTCCACCTGTGGAGGTGCAGGGCCCAGGTCCTGTGGGGGTAAAGTCCCCATGTCCCAAAGGGGCATCCACTGTAAACTTCTTAAGCATCCGAAGAGGAGACCCACCTCCCCTCCCTCACGCCGCAGGGCACAATTGCCATCGGACCCTCGCGCTTCTGGGGTGAGCTGCATGCAGAGAGGTATTTAGGCTCAAATGCACCCAAATCCTGGGAGCTTTGTCTTGGTTTCCGGCAATCAAGAAATCATGAGACATATCAGAGTGAATATACACAGAGCTTCAAAAAAAACAACCCAAAAAATATCCAATCAGCCAGGCTGGAAAGGCTTGGAGATTGGCATACAATGAGAATTGATGTGATGAAGGGCTTAATTTGGGGAGGACTTGAGGGTGGTGGGGGGATTTTTTGTCTCTGGGTCTAAAGGGAAAATAGGAGAGAGAGAGAGTAAAATATCATTTTAAAGAGGAAGTGAAAGCGGAGGCATGTGAGTATATAACTAGAAGGACAATTTATGCCCAGGCACGAGTGCAGTTTGACATGGGGATAATGAAAAAACGTAGGTCATTGTGGATGACTTAAGCCTTCAGCAGCTGAAGAAAATGTATGAAATGCGAGGAACATTACACGCTTGGCAGCTCTGCACATCTGCAGTAGGACAAGTGAAATACAGTTGGCCATTCTTTACCATAAACTGTGGTTGTAGGATATGCAGCACAGAGAAATTGTAATTACAGTGACAAGACAAATCAGTGATATTTAAATATTCATGAACAAAGTCTTGGGCGATCAATCTATCTTTATTGTCCTTGCCTTCACTTCTGTAATAAATAAGTAGCTGAAGCCCTCACCTTTCATTCAAATAATCCCGAGTTTGGGGCTGAATTGAAGTTCATTTATCAGCTGCCCAGTCTGGAGGGTTTTGGGGCCTCGCCACCCTTTGGGTGGAGCTGAAAAATATTTGCCCAGAGAATATGAGAGATGGGCTCGTGCGGCTCCTCCGCTCTCCTGCCCTGTCCTCGCACCCCAGCAAACCAGAGCGGTTGTCTGCAGAGCAGAGAGATGAGCCAGTGTGTCTGAGCAGAGCAGTGGGGCCGTAATTGCCTTTCTCCCTTGAGAGTACCCAACTTGTCCACGTTCATTGCCTGCCATCTGCAGAGGGGCTCCCGGGCCAGCCGTAGCACAGTGCAAGCGAAGCGCTGCAGCAAAGGGCATGTGAGATGCATCAGGCACTCCTTTCCCCTGGGTATGTCCACTCCTGGGCATGGGAGAGGGGCTGGGCTGAGGAAGCTGGCGCACTGGATACGTTCTGAAATGCAGAGAGGAGTCTCTTGGCTTCCTCTCTGAAGCTAGCATGCAGCATTGCTGGTCTGGCATGCCCCACTCCAGAGGTGGTTGCACCTCCGCACTGTGATGCGGCATGGGTGTGCCCCGTGCCCCAAGCCTGGAGGGGAATTGCAGGGTCACGTTAGCTCTAACCCACACTTGTGTCCTTGCAGGCGACCACCCCTACGAGTGCGAATTCTGCGGCAGCTGCTTCCGAGACGAGAGCACGTTGAAAGGCCACAAGCGCATCCACACCGGTGAGAAGCCGTACGAGTGCAATGGCTGCGGCAAGAAGTTCAGCCTCAAGCACCAGCTGGAGACCCACTACCGGGTTCACACAGGTACCGCCGCCTGCCTCCCACTGCCCCTGTCTCCTGCAGTCCACCCACCACGTCCGGGGACCCTCCTGACCCTTGCGTGCTGGGTCATGTACTGTGGGGCTGGCTCAGTACTGTGCGTGGATGGGAGCCCTCCATGGAGCGGGCAGGGAGAGATAATGTCATGCTGCCCAGCTTCCTAAGGAGCTATCAGTCCGTGGCTTTCTTTGCAAGACCTTGGGCATTGGGTCCTGAGCCCTGACAGCATCCTTCGCTGGTGCTTGTGCTCGTGCTTCCTAAACCCTCTTGCAGTTCCCGTCGAACATAGGCCCTTCCCCCTGTCCTGACTGATTGGATGTGCTGTTAAGTGGCTTCTGGGCTCCTGCCCAGTGGTGGGCACAGTGACCCCCACCTAGGCTTAGCTTCTATGCCAGGTCAGGCTGCTTGGAGCTGAAAGGTGCCACCTGCCCCAGGCCTGTGACAGCTGAGTTTGCATTTGGGCACAAGCAGTGTATAGCTAGAATAAAGTGAATGCACTCTGGTTTTTTACATGGGACCTGTTACCACCGTGCCCATCTCTACCTCCTCGTATTCCCCCAGACTCTTCTCCAAGAGTCATCTTTCCTCCATCGCTACGTTCCTGCTGTTAAAGCAGGCCCTGGCAGGCTGGGCAGGACGGGGCATGGCTCCTGCAGGTACTGGGGTCTGCAGGGATGTGCAGTAGAAATGCCCCACGCAACCCTTTGCAGGGTGATGCAGTCAGACAGGCCATGCACAACCTTGGCCAAAGCTTCCAAGTTGCCCTCCAGCACCGTGTGCTCCTCTGTCCCGTGCCCCATGGGAGGCCTCTGGCCTGTGCAGCAGTGGTGGCTGCTGTTGGGATCCAGGATGCAGGATCTAGCCAGGCGCAGAGGACAGTTTCTCCTACCCTGACTGTGTGCAAGCAGTGAGAGTGAAGTTGGAGGGGAGGGTGAAATCCCAGCATCCCATTCCCAGATGTGCCCATCCCACTGTCAGCTCTGCACCTCTGAGCACCTGGCTGTATAGTTATAGCATCCTCCGGCCCCTGGAGGATACAAGGGATGCAATGGAAAGTCTCTTTTCCGGCCAAAGCTCCTCAGGCCGGTTCCCAAGTCATGGTGTGGGTCTGCTGCCCTGCGCTGTATGCTGGCCCTGGGCAGTGACAGGCGCTACGGGCTCCGATCTGTCCCTGCTTGCTCCCTTCTTGCTCTGGAGCAGCTGAAACTCAAGTTCTCTTCTCCTTTGAATACATGCATCCTGTGCCCCCGCAAGGTTTTGCAGTTCAAGGTCTAAATCTCTCTGCCTCTGACGCTGCCAGAACCTCGGGCCTTTGGTCCAGGGACGATGCTGCGGTTCTGCAGGAATCCAGGATGGCTGCTGAGGATAATGAATCATTGAATGCGTCAGCATGTAACTATTGTAAATAGTGGATCAATATTTAGATCACTTTTGCTGTTCATTACTTCATTATTCGCTGTGTCTGTGCACAGAGTGAGTATCAATATCGGGAAGGCCAGGCAGTTAATTACTGCATCAAAGCAAGTCTCTGAAGTCTCAGCATCAGCCTCGTGTGTTATCAAAATGATTCGCGGGTGTCTGTGACTGAATAAGCAAAGCAAGCAGGTTCCCTGAAGGAACAGGGACCCGCTTCCCACCAGGTGCCTGGTTTCTGGTCACCACTGAAGTGCATAGCGATTGCCAGGCTCCACCAGGCCCATCTGGGTCAGACTCCAGCACGGATTAGTACCACCTTTCTCAAAGGCAGGTGCGAGGAACCCGGCAATGCCTGGATAACCTGCCCCCGCGAGAAGTTTCCTCCCAAGCGCTTCGGTTGGAGATTGGCTCCTGCCCCAGACCATGAGATTTTGCTGTGTGTATTTCCCCTTCTTCCCTATGTAAGCATTAGTCTTGCACAGTCCTGATTGCAGCTTTGCATGGTGCCCAGTGCCTGGCCTTTGCAATGTCTAGCGGCAGTGGGCTCCGCACACCGCGAGAGCTGTGAATGACGAGGGCATGCCATACGCAGCAGCAGGGCAGAGACCACGGTTACAGGGAGCATGTATCACCCCTAGATTTCAAAGCACTTTAGAGGGAAGGTAAGTGTGATCTTCCCTGCAACTGACTCCCTGTGCAACCTTGGCCAAGTCACTTTGCCCAGTGACTTTTGGGGGGCACCCAGAGAGGGCCAGGTGATGCCCAGAGCAGTCAGCGCCACCTGACCTTTCCATTTCCCCGCTGCAGGTGAGAAACCTTTCGAGTGCAAGCTGTGTCACCAGCGGTCCCGAGATTACTCTGCCATGATCAAACATCTCAGGACCCACAACGGCGCTTCCCCCTACCAGTGCACTATCTGCCTGGAGTACTGCCCCAGCCTCTCCGCCATGCAGAAACACATGAAGAGCCACAAGCCCGAGGAGATCCCCACCGACTGGAGGATAGAGAAGACCTATCTCTACCTGTGCTACGTCTGAGGGACACGAAAGGGAAGGAGTGGAGTCGGGAAAGACTGGGCAAAAAAAATGCATCATCCATGGCCTTTTTTTTTTTTTTTTTTTTTTTCCCCC